TATAGCACGTATCGATGATCGAGAAATTACTGCTCAATTAAAAGAGAAAAAAACAGCTCAGAAAGAATACAGTGAAGCATTACAAGCAGGTCATGGTGCTTATTTATTAGAACAAGATGAAAATTCACAAGATAATTTCGTCATCAATGTTGGTGCACTTCCACCTGGTAAAGAATGTGAAATTGTTATTTCGTATGTTACTGAACTAAATCTTGTTGAAAATGGTACGAAGATTCGATTTGTTATACCAACAACTATTGCACCTCGTTATAATCCTGGAATAGGTGATATTAGTTCACCAGCTAGTACTACATCAAAATATATTCAATCTGTACCATATACGATTGATTTTCGTTGTCAAATTGAAAAAATTGGTATTGCTTCTGTTAGTTCTGTATCACATCCAATTCGAATGGATTTGAGTCAGACAGATTTTTATATCATTACATTTGCTCAGCAAAATACTCAATTAGAACGAGATATTATGTTAGATATGGAATTGATTGAAAACCACTCGAACACAGTTTTAGCTGTTGAAACCAATGCAATTATGGCTTCATTTACACCAAGTGAAGAAGATTGTCAACGTGTCATGAATAATACTGATCTTACGAATGAATTTATTTTTGTTGTTGATTGTAGTGGTTCAATGGACGATGAAAATAAGATTGAACTGGCTCGACAAGCAATGTTACTCTTTCTCAAGAGTCTTCCAGTGAATTGTTATTTCAATATAATTCGATTTGGTAGTGATCATCAAGGTTTATTTTCAGAAATTACTGCTATATATAATGAAGCGAATGCACAAAAAGCTGAACGACTCACTAAGACGATGAGAGCAGATTTAGGTGGTACTGAATTAGTGAGTATATCTTCATCTTTCATTTATTTCGATAACTGTGTTTGTTTAGTTACCACCTCTAGAATGGCTTGATAAAAATCCACCAATTCAAGGCCGTGCGCGTCAAATATTTCTTCTTACTGATGGTGAAGTTTCAAATGTAGATGAAGTGGTTGATCTTTGTCGAACGATGGCTACATCAACTCGAATCTTTTCATTTGGATTAGGTTCTTCTCCTAGTCGTTCACTTGTGAAAGGTTTAGCACGAGCAACAAATGGTCGATTTGTTTTTATTCCTCCTCACACCAGTGTTGATGTACATGTTGGTGAACAATTACGAAAAGCATTACAACCTTGTATTACTAATGTACAAGTCAAATGGAATTTGGAAACAACACCAATTATAACTATTCCAATGGAAACACCACCTGTTTATGTCAATGATCGTTTAATTGTTTATGCACTAGCTGATAATTCATCAATTAAATTTGATCATCATTCACGAGTCGAATTAATATCTGCACAACATCGATTAGGTGAAGCTAAAGTGACTCAAATACCGAATGTTAGTAGCAATGACACAATTGCTCGATTAGCTGCTAAAGCACTTATTCTTGAATTGCAACATCA